GCATTTTTCTACTGAGTTTATACTTTTCAAGATGATGCCATCAAATTTAGTGACAGTTGACAGAATTAAAAGCTAAGGGGCAGGACGGGAAGGAAGGTGTTCTTTGTCCCTTTGAAGCTCTTCACTGTTCCCAGACATTGTTAGTTTCTTCTGTCTTGCAGAAAGGTGAAAGCCAGCCTCCCTCCACTTGCCATTTTGTGAAGAAATGTTTCACCTTTCTTTTCAGTGTCTGATTAGGGTCTGGTGTAACTCCTGCCTTCGTACCTTCCTTCCCTGCTCCTCATAGGCTCTGGGTGTCTGCTATGCAGAATGCGGATCACATTATGAAGTGAACAATGCGGTTGACGTTGGCTGTGTTGAGGGACACAGTCTCAAAGGACTAAGGTGGAAAGTGATAGAGCTGGATGCCCAGTGAGGCCCTCTGGCCTTCACAGCACACACATAGGCAGGTATAGCCACACACATGTGCAACACACACACACACACACACACACACACACACCTCTCTTGTTTCTACATTAGAATTGGCAGACATTTGTATTAACTAGAGAGATGCTTGTGGACTTAATTTTGGGATATTCTCCTGACTCACGGTTACCTGGTTGGATGGTTCTGAGTGTCAGGGATGGAGGAATAGCACAGAAGAGAAATGAAAGAATAGAGAAGACTGAAGGTCAGCTTCCCATGTTCACTGCTGGGCTCCCCAGCTGTGTCTCTGAAAATCTCTTTGTGAGAAAGGCTTTGTTCAAAAGGAAAGGGTTTCTATTTGAAATTCTATGAGAGTGGCACTGCCATTCTTTGCAAGGGGACGAGAGAGTGTTTCAAAGATTAATAGGTGGAAACACATTGATGGAGGGAAAATTCTTTATGAGACAGAGCAGTGTCTGAACATTGCCTGTGTATTTTAACTACAGCTTTAATGCCGAGGCTCCCAGACCCGCTTACTAAATTAGGGGGTGAAGTAAGTGTCCACTCTGCTTAGTGAGGAAACTGTCAGGGAAAACGCAGAGAGCTGCTTTGTGTTCCCGATGACAGACTGCCTGGTGTGGCAGGCTATGATTTTTACCCTGGAGGAACTTGCTTCTCTGCTCTATTTACATAAACCTGCTGATTGAGGAGGGTTGAAAAGGCAGAGGCTTTTCTGTGCCTTGAGAATTTGCTTTCACATTTGGCTGGCTTCCTCCCTCAGCTCAGCAAGGGCTCTGTTTGCAGATGGCAGCATTGATTCTTGGACTCTAAGCTATGTCGAGGTTGTGAGAAACAGCCAGAAATATCCCTGTTCAGTATCGTCTCCCAAGTCATGGGTTTTGGTGCTCCTGTTCAAGCATTTGAAGTGACACCATGTGTTATCGAGTATAAGAATCAGTACATAATCTGATCTCATTTTCAGACACCCCTGCTAAAGAAAACATTAGTTATCTTGTATTGTTCAGAATAATTGATAGTAATGGAAATAACCGCATTCATTTTTTTTTTCCTGGCCCATTTCAGGCATGCTGATTTTAAGATTAAAACAATGTATATTTGCCCCACAGCAACTGTTAGCTCTATCTGGTGAAACCCTGCTTTCCTGTGAGTGATTTTGAAAATGTGCATTGTGTGTTTAATGAACTGCATTGTCTGCTCAGCCCTTTAGAGCTGCTGCTTCCAAAGAAGAAGGGCTTTAACATTTAAAAACAAAAGGTGTCTGCTGTGCTTGTGTTGACTGTGAGCATTGTATTGTCACCATGAGGATTAAGTCAGGTGACTACACTGAGCCTTACAGCCAGCTTTCAGATAAGCTGTGCAGCAGTAAGTTGCATGACAATCTTGCCAAATCACTGGGGCTCTAGAAGACTTCAGGACACACATTCCAGCTGCACTTTGACATTGTTCTTGACTTTGCCTTTTCAAATGAACTACTTTGGAGCTGGGAATGAATGTCCAGCCTGTACAAGGCCCTCAGTTAGACCCCAGCACTGCAAAAACAAACAGCTACAAATAAAAACAAAATAAGTGATTTTATGCTAGCTATAAACATTCATATAAGCTGTTTTATTAAATAAGTTGCTTGATTAATGAGACCAGAGAGAAAATACTTGTAATGACTATTTGGCCTCAGTTTAACCTTTTTTGGGGGGTGGGACAGCGTGAGATAATGTAAAGGACAATGAAAGAAAAAGTATAGCCGGGCATTGGTGACGCACGCCTTTAATCCCAGCACTTGGGAGGCAGAGGCAGGTGGATCTCTGTGAGTTCGAGGCCAGCCTGGTCTACAGAGTGAGTTCCAGGACAGTCTCCAAAACAACACAGAGAAACCCTGTCTTGAAAAACCAAAAAAAGAAAAAGTATTTCCTGGGAGACTTGAGTCCCAGATTATTTCCTAGAGTGTATCTTCTTCAGTTAACTGCCGTAATGTTCCATACTTATTTTAAAAAATGCATTAGCCATAAATGGTCAAGGCAGTGCATATTTCCTCTGAGTGACAAATTTGACACAGCTTGAAAAAAATATTTAGCTCATATGACTCATGATCTTATCCATGATTTATTATTCTTTATATCAAAGGAATCAGTTTTGTTACCTTTCATATATGTTTCTATATAACAAGCTACCTTGTTTTATTTAAACAATTATCATTGCAACCCAAACTGAAAAGTAGTTGTGGTGATTCCATAGGTCAGGTTTCAGGCTCTTCCCTCAAGGGGTAGATAGCCTTTCCCTCAGACAGCTCTTAGCCTGTGTGAGTCGGGCCAGTCAGATAAGACACGTCAGTGACCAGCTGCCCTCACCCAGTGCCTCTTTCCTCTTGGTGCTCACGCCTTGGTGAGTTTACAGAGGAACATTTACTGGAGTCAAGTTGTAGCATAACATAGCTTTCCCCTCCATTTTCTAGAAAGCTTTTTTGGGAGCTGGTGGTGATGTGGACCGTGCAGACAATCTGACTGCCAAATAGTGGAACATACGGGGACGTGAGTTGCTAGGATCATTTGAAGAAGGGAGCTGTCATCATTCTTTCTCTGCAGAGGAGCCATGGGAATGTATCCCCTAAGCTATGTATGGTCAAAACAGGTAGAATAAAGAAGGATATGGCTGACACAGAGAATTGGTATTGTTTTTGGAGAATGTTGCCTAGGGGAGGAGGTGGGATTTGTGGGAATAGATAATTGAGTTCCATCCATTTAGGAGATGACATGTCTGTTTATAAGGCAGTGAACAAGTAGTTTAACTTAGAGAAAGTGTGGTTTTTGTGGGAAGGGAGGAAGAAGAAACACATGGACTGTGCTCAGGTGAGTGAGTGTGTAGTTGCTACCTGGAGATTTGAACTACCAGAGCTGTGTACAACAGGGCAACAATGTGAAAATTAGGAATTTTGAGGGCATTCCAAAGATATATTAATTTAAATTTTTTTTCTTAATTTTAATTTTTGAGACAGATCTTGTAGTCCTGGCTAGCCCCCAGCTTGTTAGCTTCCCTTGCTGAGTGCTAGGGTCACAGCGCTGTGAGCACACTACTGTGCCTGACTAGAGCTCTGGGTTCTTGTGTAGAGAGTTATGCTTCTCATATTTTTTACTTTAATAACAAACAAGGATCATGAAGAGAAATACTAGCCATGGTGGGAAGAGGTTCTCCTGCCTGTCATTTGAGATGACTGCTGTGTTAGATGGCTGGTGCCTAAGTGCAGTCAGTCCTCACCTGGGACTCTGGAACAAGGCGCAAAGCTCAGGGCTTACGCATCCCTAGCCCTTTGTGGTGCATGGCTTCATGACTCACTGTCTGCATCTGAGAAGTCAGGGGCATTTTGGTACCTTGATAGATTTGGGTACAGTGACCCTACTGTTGTACAGGGAGTTTTCCCGAAGGATATGTCTCTTAGAGAGGCTGTCTTCATGATCCAACCCTTAAGTGTGTTTACTGCTTTTGGAGTGCGACTTGACTGTCCACCAGTGGGATGACTGTCGACTCCATATTGTGACTCCTTTTTCTGTCTTGGCTTTTAATGTATATATATGGAGACGAAGGAGAGGGCTTTCTTCAGGTTGTCAAAAACTAGTTTTTTTTTGTTTGTTTGTTTTACGTATACACATTTTGAAGGGCAGGAAAAGGGGTATGATGCATGGTGTTCACACTGTAGGCATTGTTAACCCTACTCCCCAAACTTGATAGCTGTGAGACTTTTACTTCTTGGTGGGTAATACCTAGACTTCCAGTCCTATTCTGTGGACAATGTTTTCCTAAAAGCTCATTGCTTCTCTTAAAAACTGTGTCTTACAGGCAGTTTTAAAAAAACAGCCTTTTATACTTCAGCTGTGAGCATCAAAAAGAATTGCCCAACCAACCGGAAAGTGTTCTGTTCTTCTTTCTGAAAGAAATATCTAAAAATATAACTTGGTTTACTTCATTCCACCTTTCATTGGCTGCCTTGTTTTTCATTACAGTCAAAAAAATATTTAATAGTAAATTACCCCGTGGTAATTAGATTAGTTTTCATTCTTTTTATGGTATATGTGAAAAGGTTATTGTAGTGGCATGTTCAAGCTGGTCTTCTCAAATAGCTATTTCCTCACAAAACACTGATTGAAAATGAAGTAGCATGCAGCCAAGCCATTTCTGTGTGTGAAGAATGTCTGCCTAAAGGATTTTTGATTTGCCTTAAAGTGCATGTACTCCCTCCCTTCCTCTCCCCAGTACTGTCTTCATGTATAATCTTTAGTAATTACCTTCTCTAAACTTCTCTGCCTGGATATGGACAGTCTTTGTAGAACTTCCTTTCCCTGAACAGAACGGCTCAGACTTCACTAGGTTCATTAAAGTATCAGAAGCCTGTTCAGAAAGAACCCTCACTTTGATGCTATCTATAATTTAATGTCACCCTTAGAAAGGTTTTGTTTTTATTATTAAAAGGCATTTGCCTTGTTATTGATATGGTTATATTTATGTGTGCCGTGATCTGTGGCCCGTGTGTTTGGTTCTTTAAAGGTAAATGCCATTTTTTAAATGAACTTCTTTTTCTTTTAAAGACTGTGTGTATATCGAGAGTCGACGACCAAACACACCGTATTTCATCTGCAGCATCCAAGACTTCAAACTGGTAAGCATTTTGCCATGCTCTGCCTCTGCTGTGTTCCCTCTCTCTTGCTCCACAGGCTGTCACTTCTGATGGCTTCTCCAGCACTGCTGGTGTGACAACCAGTGTGCAGCTGTGTGATCTGCCTGCAGGCTGTGTGCTGAAATACAGCGATTGGTTTCATCAGCTTGGTTTGTCCACTGTGGTAAAGCTTGTCTGTTGTAAGCATTGTTTCTGAAGTGTTTACTTCTTTAGCAGCTGTTTTCACAGCCTCAGAGATTCCCTCTGGTTTCTCAGGTGGTTTATTTGCTCTCAGCCAGTCTTAAGAGCCTCAAGTCAGCTTAGTGATTAATGAGCATGAAATGTAAACCAAAGACTAGTTTTTTGGAATGATGGTAGGAATGAACTATATCCTGGCCAGTTTTAAGGGTGTCGCAGGAGCAGTTGGGAGAATGGGATTTGGCCTGGGGGTAAGGTTGTCTGGATAGTGCTCCTGACAAACAAAATCTTTGATTTTAGACAGCTGTTCCCACACTTTGGGCTCAGAATAGATCCCTGGGTGTTTGTAAAACAAGCATACTGAGGCCTGGTGTGGTGACACACTTTTAATTCCAGTGCTAAGAGGCAGAGGCAGGTGGCTCTCTAGGAGTTCCAGGACAGCCTGGTCTACACTGTCAATTCCAGAACAGCCAGGGCTCCTCAGAGAGCCCCTGGCCTCCCCCCTCCCCTGGCTTAGTATTGTGTGCATATGTGTGCACCTACTTTTCAAACATTAGTGTTCCATTTGACTTTTCAGAGATTTTCCTTACTTAAGAGCAACATAGTTAAACAGCACTATTTTTAATGTCTTTTCCTCATATTACTGATGTGTAAAATAAGCAGTATCATTGTGAACCATCTAAAATATTTTGATCTTGGAATGGGATCCTTTTACTTAAAGACTGGGAACCACAGCCTGGTTATAAGTGCAGAGCAATCCTAATTCTGTATCTTTGTAGAGAATGGATTACCTTTGTATCTGTGGATGCCCTCTTCCCCAGATCCTTCATTGCTTGAGGGTGTTTGTTCTTACACACAATGTATATGATATTTCAGTTTAAAAAATTAATACAGTAGAGCAAGTCATTGCACATTTATTGGTACGATATATTTATTCTTACTAGGCTGCTTCTAAGCTCCCTGGCTGTTTTGCAAAGTGGCCTTGCAGCTTTATCTTGTAAATCAAATGCTTTCTATTTAGTTTTCTTGCCAATATGAATTCTTACTATTTTTGGAGATGTTTGTTTTTTATCTTTCTTTACAAAGATTTTTTTTACAGATACTGCCTGATACCTGAAACTTTGGGAGGTGACCTTGTTTCCAGAAGATTTTTTATTTTGGTCGTGGCTGCGGCCACTGCTCTTTCTGTGTTTGTTATCTGTGTATGTGATTTTGCTGGATGAGTGCCAGAGCTCCACAGAGAATATATCGTTCTGAAATAAAATTATAAATATTTTTCTTTTAGATTCCCATCAGATTCTGAGTCCCTTTGCTGTGTGTGTGTGTGTGTGTGTGTGTGTGTGTGTGTGTGTGTGTGTGTGTGTTAGCAGGTGCCTTCATGTTTGAACAGCATCCATCTCTTAGGAAATGCTGATTACTGTGGTAGTTGCTGTTCTGGGCAGAGGTTCCTGCTGAGGTACTGTAATTGCTTAGTGTATTAACAGCAATAAAAACTGAAGCTTCTGCTGTCAGTATTGAAAACATTAAAGCTATCTGCAAAAACAAGTGAGATATAGGGTTCTGCCTTTAAAACCACCTAGTGTTTCTCTTTGAGGCTCTGTGTTCTGCACATACTTGTAGTTGTCCTGTGAGAATATTAGAGATGATGAAATATTTGCTCCAGGGAGAAATAGAGTTTCTTAGGAAAAGACAGAGGTGAGACTTCCTGCTCTGGATTGCCCAGGCTATAGAGGAAATATGCTTTATTTCATAGAAAGGTTTTTAAAGAAGAGATTGCAGTTGATATTGCTCATAGTGAATATAACATGGAAAAACAGAACAATGAAAAGTAGTTTTAAAAGCAAAGCATTAGCTATGAGGTATTACATGATGGGTGTTTCAGCTTTGGTTTGAGGCTGTAGTAAGAGGTGTGCTCTCTTGTTTACATCAGCGGTGACAATTCTTCTGCTGTGGTAGGATGTGGAGTATAAGCAAGACAGTTTCTGTGGTTGTAGGAGTGCTGTTAACATCAGTAAAAACCAATGAACTGAGACATCAAGTTGGGGAGCCGTGTACACTGAGACCAGTGTAATACTGGTGTGTTGAACTCCCAAAGCCCTGGGTAATGTTTTAGGAGTTGAGTGTGTGAAAGGAAGAATGTTTGGATGTTGTGTGGAGACCTGGGTTGTTTTCTCGAGCTTGATTCAGGATTCCCTCAGAGTCCAGGTCTGTGGTATAGAGCATGCCAGGCTATGTAAATAGCCTCTCATCTCATTCTCAGAAATGTCCAAACTGGGATCGCTTTTGTGGCCATTCTGTCTTCAGGGATGAGCTCCATGGCCTCGGCTTTATCAAGTGTTAAGTCTTCAGAACACATAAGGCTGCTAACATCCCATATTGCGGGTACACTTATAACCTATATTTGCACAGGGCTAGATGGAGGCCATGGTAGTACAGAGTAGTAAGTTTGAAAATGAACCAAGTTTTTGAAGGTTAGGGGTCTTTATCCCTCTCCCTCCTCTCTCCATTTTGTTTGGTTTGAGAGTAAACATTAAAAAAATGTGGACTCCCAAAGTGGAGAATGGGAGGGTCTCCAGTGGAGGAACACTCCAAAGATAGCATTTGTGGGTGTCCCCCTACCCCCACCCAGGAACAGGGTTTCTCTGTGTACCCTTGGCTGTCCTGGAACTCGGGAGACCAGGCTAGTCTTGAACGCCCAGAGATCCCTAGTGCTGGGGTTAAAGGTATGTTTCACTATTGCCTGGCCAAAGGTAGCATTTTTAAGAGAGATAAATTATGTGCTCAGTTCGGGAAACATTGATTCTTTTGTGTTGTGTTCATATAATTAACTTATTTCCAAGTGGAGAAGGCTTGTTTAAATATATTGGTTAGAGTGATTCATGGAAGAAATAGACAGCATGGAGGGGTGTGCTTAAGCAAAGGACGTGAAGTGAACAGCTTGAAAGGTGAGTGACGAAATAAAGACGCACTGTAGTTTTCAAAGCCAATCTCTGATAATAAAATTACTTCTTGGAAGTAGTGATAATGGAAACAGTAGTGACCTGACTTGAAAAGATTAATTTCTTTGTAAAAATTTAGATTTTGGGAAAACTGAGGCTCTGTAGTAGTTTACAGAGGGGCAGAGCCGAAAGGATGAATCAGGAATTGCCTTTACGATAGTAAGGTTGGAGCATCTCAGAATGCCAGCCTCAAGCAGGTGAGAAAGCAGAAGACACTAGAGGATGCTGGCTCAGCCACTTCCTCCCTGAGACTGCCCCTTTCCACCAGAGTCTCTGGAGATGATGATTGGCCCATATGGGCTGGATGGAGTAGACCAAAAGAACCGGGGATAGCATCTTAATTCTTTTCTCCTGTTGCCTGTTCAGAGAACTCTGGGTCACTTTGTGTTACCTAGTTTGCTTTGATGGTTTTGTTTTTGATCATCAAGGTGTATTTTATCCCATAATACTGTTAGGAACGTTCACAATCAGTCCTCCCACAAACCTGTTCTATGTTCTTTGTTGAGCACAACAGAGGGCACTGAAGAAGTACAAAATGTTTCTTCCTCAGCAATCTTAGAATCTAATTGGAGAATTTGTGGCATTATTAGGCATCAGCCATTTTTAGAGAACACTGGAGAGGATTGATAGGGAGGAAGAGTTAATTATTTTTGTCTTGAAAGAAACTCTTGTTTTTACTAAAAATATCAACATTCCATAATCTCAAAGTCTTAAGCATGAATGAAATAATTTTCTACCTAGAAGTAATCATGAATTTTGAGAAGTGAACCCAAAGTATATTGTTAAAAATTAACTTGATTCATTATGCAATACCAAAGAGTTCCTTGTACTGACTACCAGTTGTTTGTTTCTTCCTAGCGTAATACTCAGAGCTGCTCTGTTAATTTTCTGATGGGAATGCTGTGTGCTCTTGATTGCCATTTTCTGTGCTTTAGAAGGGAGTGTGGTTTGGGTTTCTTACATTGGGTAATTGTAGGTTTATTTATATCAAATGAGTTTCCAGAAAGGATATGTAATTACTACAAATAGTACTTAAGGTAAATATATTGGTTCATTGTACTGAAACTGGAAAGCTCATCCTTAAGATTAAACCTTGTCTAAATGTGCCTTAAAACCATTAACAATATTAAAGGGCTTCCAGTGGCCTGTTGAGTGAATTGAACTGTGGATGGAGGTGTGTGCTGTTGCATTCTTTGTATGCAAGACAACAGCCATTTTCATCTGTTTTTTAGCATGGAATAACCAAGGAATCAGAGTCGCTAGTTTCCTTAGATCATTTTCATCCCTCTGTGTATTTCATTGTTGTTTGTGAGCAACTTGGGGTGTGTGTGTGTGTGTGTGTGTGTGTGTGTATGTGTGTGTGTGTGTGTGTGTGTGTGTGTGTGTGTGTGTGTTTTCTCTTTGATTCCTAGCTTGTACCCAGAACCCACTCCAAAAACTTGTTGCCGTTCATTGTTTTTTATTTCTGCATCCCCTGAGAAATTACCTTCAGCTGAGATTCTGCATATTAGTGAATTACCAGATTTATGTCCTGTACACAGCAAGAGCATGCAGTGCAGTGGCATCTGGGAAGTAGCTATTCATTTTAGTTGTAGGTCAGTAACATATTAGAGTCTTCTTTTCAGTGACGTGGGGTAGGACTGGGATTCTCCATTAGGTTGAGCATGTGTAATTCAGCATTTGGGAAATGTTGTCTGGGGCTGAGATGAAGGTTGGCAGGCTGCATAGATTGATAGTTTGAATTTTGAGTTCAAGTTGTCTGATGCCCATTTCCGTTTCATTAGTTGTCTTGCTTGTGACCTTGCAAGTGGGTTGTTTTTAGATGGAAAGTCATGCATACAAATTGTTTAGCATAGGGCCTGACCCTCAAATGTCGGTGTTTGTGACATTATTGGACCCTTATACTGTGATTTATTTTCCATGTTTAAAAAATTGATGTATAGTAATTGCACATGTGTATAGAGTATGGTATAAACTGGTTTCTAAGGCAAGAACTGTTGCATATTGATTGGATTGGTGACAAACTCTTCTTCTAGAGGCCACACCCCTACACTTGTTTTTTTTAAAAAAGGTACTCGGGTACTTGCCTTATAGCTATGTATTACTGCCAAGATGTGCAGGGATGAAAGGTCTTAGTTTATATTCAAGAGACTTGAGGTGGGATGGAATTCTCTTGTTTGGAATTGGATGGCCATAGTCAGGTGGGGCTGTTGTTGGCTGGCCAGATCCTACTCCTCCTTAGTTATAGAGCAGTGATCTTAGATTGTTTTTCAGTACCCACATTCTTTCTGTGTGGTATGCATGTCCATTTAGAAATGACAGAGAAGTACCTACCTCAGTAGAAATCAAAAGGAGGCTTTGGGAATGAGTAATCCAGAGCTTGATTCCCATCTCCTCATTTCTCAGGGTTTGTTTTCACTTTCACCAGTGGCAGAGCAGGTGACTTGGAGCTGAAGTTTTAATGTTGTGTAATTATTGTGAAGTTGGGTAATTCATTTTCTCCTAATTTAATTGGATTTTAAGACTCCTAAGAAGTAAATGATATTTTGTTTAATTTTCTATATTTCCTTAACATATTTATCTCTAAATATAATTTACTGAATGTTATCTATGTGAAAATTTTCAATGCAGAGAACTACTTACAAAAATTTGAGATGGTGATATTTGTATAGCTCTACAGTGAAGAATATTGCTTAAATCTTGTTCAAACTTGATTTCTATAACTGGATAGTCACAATTTGTATGTATTAACAACCAACTCAAAAAAGTGTCAAAAAAATACTGAGAAAATTAGGGAGGCTCCAGATGTCTTCAATGTTTTCTGATTTGTATGAGTTTGCTGCAAAAAGGCCAGTTTTTCTTAAATGCTGAAAGTGTTGTGATGACCGCTTGAATTCTTTGTATAAGTTAAAACAAGTAATGCCAAAGTGTTGAGAAATGCTTTGCTATGTTTTTAAAAATTGAAATCCTTAACTATAATGGAGGAGGAGTTGATACTTGAATTTGAGTTCTGGCTAATTAAATTCCACTGAAGAGATTTAACTAGACATTCAGTTTTATTTTTTGTTTATTGTGAAAAAAATACTGACTGTGCTGCACACTGGAGCACTCAGTTGTATTTTCTACCTGGAGTTTGCTGTGTTCTGGGAGTCATGGGGTATGGTTCCTAAAACTGTCTGTTGAGCTGGTAAGAATGAGAGACTGTACAGAGACTGTCCTCAGAACAAATTATGTGCAGCAAGACACTGTGATAATTTAAAGCTTGCTTGTTTAATTCTTAAATAACTGTAATAACAAGTTTTTAATATAAGTATTTGAATTTTGTGGATTTTTAAAAGTTCATTTATCATTGCGTGAAACTGTTGTAGTTAGGCTTTTTATACGTTATGTGCCCTTGATTATTTGAATAGCGAAGCTTGAAGCTGTTGTCTCAGGTGTCTCTTCTTGTGCTTAAGGGACAGTGCTGGCTTTCAGAAGTTGCTTTTTTCATCCTTCTCTGTTGGTTCCAGTGTTTCCTTTTAAAAAGAATTTTAGTACATGCTAAGCTGATTTTTACCCCTAGAAGAAATAATGCCTTCCTTGAACTTGATATGAACTCGACTCTCACTTCTGAGACATTTTGGGGAAACTAAAACTCAATTGAATGCGCTCCTTGTTCGTGTTTGAAGCTGTTGTCTATTTATGTTGCCTTCAGCTTTACAGAATTAGAGAAGGACTTCCAGGAAGTGGCAGGGTTTTCTCTGGCCACCCTAACCCTTGGGTGCCTTCCTACTGAGTGTACACTTACTTTATTTATGCTCCCAGCTTCTCACCACAGAAACTCTTCTGAAAGCTCAGTCTGTCTGTCTGCTCACAGTTCTCTCCTGTGTGTCTGACACCTTAGGATGTCGCTTTTATGATGAGCAGAGCATGCCCCTGTTGCTATGCTTTGGCACTGCTCACTGCTGCATCTTAACTTGGTTATTTTGAGGGGCACACACCATGCTCTTAAGACCGACCCAGGTTGAAATACAGCGCCAGAAGGGTCGTGCAGGTGTTGACACTTAAATAAATACGCAGCGTTGACAAATGTGGGAAGGGTAACTCCACTGGGGGAACACATTCTCAGTGATGTCAGTGGTTCTCTGCTCTTTAAGGGCCCTTGCTGATGCCTGCTTGTGTGCTGAGTGCCCCTAGTAACCAGGATGGGGTGTTGGGCGCCTTAACTTAAACCTGTTTTCTCTTTTAGGTCCACAGCTCCCAGGCCTGTTGCAGATCTCCAGCTCCTGCTTTGTGTGACCCCCCAGCATGCTCTCTGCCGGTGGCGTCACAGCCACCACAGCATCTTTCTGAAGCCGGGAGAGGGCCTGTAGGGGTAAGGAGAATCCCGTTTTTAAAAGCTATCAGTATTTTATATCCCATAGGGTATAAAATAGGATATTACCTCCCTTCCCAGAGCCCCCTTGAAATGTGCTGTATGACGTGTGTCTTTAAAAGAATGCTAAGTACATGCGCAGAGGAAGAACAGCACGGGACTTGCCTTACCCCTCTAGGACAGTTCCAGACATAGTGGGGTTTGCTGGAAGGGTGTTTTGGCACCAGCAGAGAGCATGCTGGGCTGCTGCAAGGAGCAGGAGCTGGCAGTCAGCAGCGAGTATGGATGTTGGCACTGAGGTGAGGGAAAGGGGTAAGTTTAAGTCCAAGTGTGGATTGTGCATTTCCCAAGGCTCATTTGGGACTCCACAAATCTAAAATGTCTTGGCCACTGCCCTCTTCAGGGATCACTTTGTAGAAGGCTGTTGACGGTGAGGTTTTTCTGTAATAGCCAGGAAGCCCTTCAGGGGGCTGGGGATGGGGTTGGCTCTGCTTGTCCTGGCTGTATCCTGATGTGACTTGATGAGAAGACTAGATGCATGAGATGGAGCAGTGGCTGTGCTACACCCACCAGCCCTGGAGCCCGGCGACACCCAGTGGTGGTGCTCATGAGGGCTTCAGGGGCTGTGCTTCCCACTTGTGGACTGTTCACCTGGCTTCCTTTCTCTTCCTTTTTGGAGGACTTTAATGGTGATCTTTCTAGAAGACAGACTGTGTGTTCACCTGGCTTCCTTTCTCTTCCTTTTTGGAGGACTTTAATGGTGATCTTTCTGGAAGACAGGTGTCTATTGTTTTGAACTGAGTACCCAAGACTGTAACTAGAAGAGTCATCAGGCTGGTAGGTTTAAGTCTGTACTCACCTAGAAAACAATACAAGAGGGTAGTCATCTCACATAGACATAGACAGCACCAGATACTGTCAACACATGATCACTTGTGTGGGTTCAGTATACAGTATTAGTGAGTTCTCTGTGCAGGTTATAGCATGCAGTTTTGTGAACAAGATTAGAATCCAGAAGCTGCACATTTTTGACATGTCATTATGATGTAGATAGGCAGAGTGTACATGCATCTTACAGTGTAGACAATGTTCTGGTTACTCTAGGAGCTGTGAGAAGGCGTAGGATGCCCATGAACAGCAGATGTAAGTGGGTGTTGGAGGCAGAGGTGAAGATCTAAGATAGCGATGAGGTCTCAGATCATAAAGGTTGGAGTGATTCGGGTGTTAATGGGGTATGCAGTAGAAAAGAATCCACCTGACCTGCCTTACTACTCATTGTTTCAGAAGATTCAGGTGGTAACATCGTGCAGTATAGAAAAGCTGGGGCACTAGGGCTCTCACCATATGTAGAATGGTACAGATGCCGCTGTTGATTATTACAACAAGCCTGGTGTGTCTTTTCATGTCTGAAATCCCAGTACTTGGGAGCTGACACCAGGGTTGTTTTGAGTTTGAGGCCACCTTGGTCTTTAGAGAGGGGCTTGTTTAATACCCTCCAACTCCACCTCACAAGTGTAACAAAACCAGGAGTAATTGCTAAAAGTGTTACATTTATGTGATTGATGTAATTACTCAAATTAATGCCACCAAAAAGGATTCCTATGGAAGCCTTGGATTTACTGAGATAATGAGCACACACAGTGGAAGGTGGAACCTAATATAGTGGGTATAGTCCTTACATCTTAAAGGAAAAGTCAGTGGAAAACCTCAGTGTTAGATATATTGTCCTTTATGTATCTGAGAAATAAATAATAGCCTATCGTGCAGGCTGGTATTTTCTTGATTTACTCTAATCAATGTGATGTTAGCTTATATACTTTTATTTACTGTGGTACCTACTAAACAGGATTTGCTGAGTAGATTTCAAATTTTGCCGGTTACACTGATCTTTTAGTAAACTTTCTGTAATAACATTAGTGATGATTGGTATTGCTATTTTTCAGCATCCACTGAAGATTTAAATAAATTCATTATTGGTGAAGTCCTTAGATGCCAACATCAATGTAGATTGGAGAAGAGTCAATAACATGATGATAAATCTTCCTTGAGTCAGAGGATGCTGCATAAGGCTAATTGTATTGATTGTTCTTTAATGATGCTTCATGTTGCCAAAGTCATTCTTGCTGGATCCAGTTGGCAGAACCCCACCCCCATGTGGAGCTCCCATAAATATGAAGGCATATACAGATCTAGGACAGTGTAATGAGAGAGCTGCTGGGAGAAAAATTGATTACAGGGTTGCAGACAGCATCGTTAATGTTCCTTGTCATGATACACCAGATGTCTTTGCTAATAGACTATTTTTGTTATTAGTTTTTATAGGATAGCATTCATTACATCATAATTTAGCTTTTGGTGCATATGCAGATAGGTGAACTCATTAGATTTAATTTTATACTTTAAGTTACTTACTCTTGTTAGTTTATGCACTGAAGAGTTAAAAATTTTACTAGTTACCAAGAATCTGCTGGAGCTGGGTGGTGGTGGAGCACGCCTTTACTCCCAGCACTTGAGAGGCAGAGGCAGAGAGATCTCTGAGTTTGAGGCCAGCCTGTTTTTTCTAATTCCCGGCAGCAAGGCCTACACATAGAAATCCTGTCTCAAACAAAACAAAACAAACAAACAAACAAACCAGGGAAGGAAGGAAATGCTGGCGTGGATGTTTTCTAGCAAAAAGAATTGTGTTTACTGGTGATGGTGGGGAGAAAGGAGAAATGTAGGATGACAAAATGCAAAGGAACCAAGATGTGCTCAGAGACAATTCAGCTCATTTCACTCCCTACCCAACCCCCAATGGTTTAACTGCATGCCATATGGCAGCCTGTAAGAGCTCAGTCCAAACAGCCATAGTGCTGCGATTTCTAGGGAACTTTAACCTACCTTTTTTCCCTCTGCCCTAGATATAGTTCTGCCAGGTTGCATGTGGGCTGCACCCGTCCTCCTCATCGCTAGGAGACCAAAGCTGAGTTGGCAGATTTAATTATTTAGGATTAACTTTGTAATTATTTATTTTTAAAAAAAAGCCAGGTGGTGGCACACACCTTTAATTCCAGCACTTGGGAGGCAGAGTCAGATCTCTGTGAGTTTGAGGCCAGCCTGGACTACAAGTTCTAGGACAACTGTGGCTGCACAGAGAAACCCTGTCTCAAAAAATTACAAGCAAACAAGGCCCTGCTGTGTAGCAGCCTTGGCTCTCCTTTGTGCAGTCTTCCCACCTCTGCCCTTCTCAGTGCCTCCACAGTCTAATACTAAAGAGTTTAGCCATGTCCTTTGTGTGTTAGAAACGTCTTCTGAGTGGCCAACAGACTTAATTAAGACAGTGCTGTGGGCAGGCATGGTGGTGCACACATTTTAGTTCAGCAGTCAGGAAGAGGCAGGCAGATCCCTGTGCGTTCCAGGCCAGTCAGGGCTACATAGTCAGACCCGGTCTCAAAAAGAAAAAACAAAAGCAGTGTCACAATGGTTTGAGGGACCCTTGGTAAGCTGCCTGCCACCAAACCTGACAACTTGAGCTGGGACACGCAGCTTGGCAAGAGAAGACTAACTCTTGCAAGTTGTCTTCTGGTCTCCATAGAGAGCCTTGACATCATGTGTGGCCTGCACACACGCATTAACACATGAGAAATAGGTAACAAAATTGTTTAAACAAAACAAAACAAAAAACGGCGCTTTTAGCTGTTTTGTTTCATTGTCGGCCCAGCCACACCCCCCCCCAAAAAAAAGCAAAATAAAAATAAACATTAGCTAGGCCAGTGAGAGTTCAGTTGGTAAAAAGGTGCTTGCCAGCAAACCTTATAACTTGAACTCACATTACAGAAGGGGAGATCGACTTCTGCAAGTTGTCCTCTGGCTACACACACACACACACACACACACACACACACACACACACACACACACACACACACACACACAAGTTGTCCTCTGGCTACACACACACACACACACACACACACACACACACACACACACCCTGACCTACCTATTTTGAGGCATGTTTGTGTGCACAGATAAAAACTAATAAAACAAAAATCTACCCACCAATGAAACTTCTGATTCATACAAATTATGACTTAAGAAAGTTTCCTGAACTAAAAACTTAAGCTGATACTCTGTCTAGTTGAGCTCTGAGTTCAAGAAGGCTTAATGAGCTTTCTGAAGTTTCATGATAATCTTGTGTGACTATACATTTTTTTCTTCAAAGAAGATCACTATATTTCAAAACTGTTGAAAATAATCTAAAATTAAGATTAGGGATGTAAATCGGGTGTGGTGATATACTCATGTAATTGTACCAACTGCAGAGGAAGCGCTTACAAACAACATAGCAAAGCCACAACCCAAACTCCCGCTCTCTGAAGGTTCCTCTGTGGGTCATTTAGAACTTTAAAGCCAGCCAGCTGATGGGTGCTCATGGTCCTTGGCTCAGGTACTCTTGACACTTCTCTGTAAACATGAGGTATTTTGTTCTAACTAGTCCCGATGCCCTTCTCAGCCCCAAAGAAACACATGGACGCTGTATTCGTTATAAAGCTATTGGCCTTTGGCTTGGGCTTCTTATTGGCTAGCTCTGTCTTAATTACTAACCCATTTCTATTAATCTAAGTATTTCCACATGGTCTTGACTAACCGGGAAATACCAGACCTTTGCCTGCTACATGATGACTGCTCAGCATCTCCGCAGAGAAGAGAGCGATTTCCTGTTTGTTTCTGCTTCTATCCTGTTTCTGCCCAGCCATGTCACTTCTTGTCTGGCCAATCAGCCAATCCAAATTTTATTGATTAATGAATAAGAGAAACATAACATGCAGAACATTCCCTATCACTTCTGTAGTTCATCTATGCACTAAGATAGCTCAGAGGATGAAGGTGCTCAACACCTGGCTCCATGTCCTGAGTTTGATCTCTGGAACCCACATGGTGGAAGGAGAGGACTGACTCCAGCAAGATGCCCTCTACCTTCAGAATATTTCCTGTGGCATGCATGCAGTGGTACACAT